CTATTGAGTTGAGTTTATTGGAGATAAATGAGTTAAACTTTGCCTTTAAAGCTCCTTATTTCGTTAGTTTAGTCTTCCACTAATTTATCAGCCATGCCAAGGGTTCTCGTGGAACCAAAAATGGTTCTTGAGTGCCGGCCACGTCCATGGTGTAGGCTCGGAGCATGACAATATCCTTCCACCCATTAATTCCCAAAGTGAACTTAGTGTTCCAGTATTTCATTTCTATGAAAATCTAGGGTTTTACGAAAAGCATGAATGTGTTTTTATTTCAGTCTCTTCTCATAAATAGTCTATAAATACATGTTTTCCATATGATTCATTATCTTTAGTTAAGTATATTTTCATGAACCTTCAAAATATCGATATTTCATGTCTCAGGATTATGTTGTTTTAATTGCATGTTTCCTTCAGAATATAATAATTATCATGATTTGCGTTTTACTCAGTTTATCAATTTCCACATATTTTAGAATGCTTTTAGATAAAGTCTCTATCACTAAGTTTCACACATCAGAGTCAGCTTCAGTATTATAAGTTTTACAGACCATTAGAATGATTTCTGATGAAGTATACTCTTAATGGTATTTTCAGATAAATATATATTATTAGATTGTTAGCACTTTCATGAGTCATGATATAGGATTCAAGTCCAGTCTTATAGATTTTTTTCCAAATATCAGTTCATTTACATTTCTTTTATGCATTTTACTCTAGCCATATCAAGTCTCCCATACACCTACAAGTCTTAGGATTAAGAAATACATCACTTATATATGTGTAATCATCTCATAGAATAGGAGCTTCGACTCATAACAATAAGGTATATGACATGAATAGCATCCACGTGCTTTTGAACATATTTCCAAAAGTAAGTTCCCGATTAGTATGGTACCCGAAATACCATCAATAATCTTGGATAACTTTTCTTATTAAAAACAACTTCACTAGTAGTATGGCAGTCAGGTATGACATCCATGATTATGAAAACATTCTTAGGAGCTAATCAATTATGTTCAGTTGGGACTAGTATTTAACATCAAGTCAGACTAAGGTCAGTCTACCCAAATCCCAGAACTAAGTTCTAGTGTAGGCCCAGGTAGTCCTTGTGGGTGCATTCTCTAAATTTAGTGGTACCACTCAGATAAGACCAACCCTTATACCTTAGCAAGGTATATTAGGCCTTTTTTCAGGTATTATACATCGAATTTAATGTTTTGATCACATGGTTATATGTCGGGTACTAGTATCTCCCACATTTCAGTTTTAGTTTGGATTGAATTTTTACTTCGTTATATCAGTTCAGTACTTATCAGTTGCATATTTCACTACTTGGTCATTTCCTTTCAGATTATATATGTCGGTTGTATTTAGTTCAACATTTCATTTTGGGCATGTTTAGCATAATTGTATAATGCATATCTCACACACAATACATTCAAAGTATTGTCCACATACCTTTCTTCGCTATATTATTATACAGTATAGATTCAGACGCTTGGCACCCAACTTGTAGTTAGTATGATTTATGATCATCCCAACAACAGTGTTGGTGAGTCCTCACCGTTCGAGGACAACCCTAAGTTTTTTGTTTTTTGTTTTATCTTCAAGTTTTCAAACAATTAAAGTTAGCTAAGAGTATGTCGCAACAACTCATCTTAGTAGAGGCTTTTCAGGAAGGTTGCCAGATGTTAGTTCTTAGGTTTTTGTTATGTTCAATGAACTCTCTTTTTAGTATTAAGGTTAATGATTTATACTTCATATATCTATTGGGCTCAACTTTCGTATAATTTATTTTCATTTGTCTTATTATACAAATCTTAGTGTTATGCCAGACTATAGGTTAACTTGGGGTCACTTGTGGCTCTAAGCATCGTGTTATGACTAGGGGTACTTTCAGATCATGATATTATAACCATCTTCTATGGAGGTGGTAGAAATATACATCACATCTGTAGTTTATACAACAGAGATAAAAATACACAGAATTTACCTCATACAAATATAATAAATTTATAAATTCACCATATGAAATAGATTAGATGAACTCATTTCTAATAGCAGGTAAGCCAATCAATCAAACACAAATAATGTAGCTCCGAAAAAAGATGATAGTGCAATATTATGAATTGAAGAATCATCTTCACTATAAAATATCAATAAACGGTTCATATTATTAGGATAAAACTTTCGAAGTATGATTCTATTGACTCCATCTCAGAATCCGCCAAGTAAAACAAAAAAATTAGAACCAAATGACAAGAGAATTAACACTTGCAAAAGCCTAAATGTAGGTTGAATTGACAATATCTAACCAAAATGAAGGAAAAGCACTACAATGAGTAGATGATCTTACTTACCATAATTATTTGATATCAAATCAACAAAAAGAAAATTAATGAAAAATGATCAACCTAGATCATACAATTTTAGAAAATTGTTGAGGCCTACACGAGACACAAAGTGGGAAGATGAATTAATTTAAATTACCTTGGAATAACTATTAGGCATATCTTGCACAATAAAACCAAAAGGACCCCTCCTACGATTCCAAATTTTATATTTCCATGAACCTTTTTGGATAGTTGTAAGAGACAAATCCACTAAAACCTAAATATTTATAGAATGTTGGTTCAGAAGAGGAAAAATTATATTTCACGAACAGGGATAATATCATAAATAATTTGAAATAGTATTATTCTGCTAATCAATACTTTCTAGATCTTAGTATAAGAAATGAAAACTAAACAGGATATAGAAAGTATGGATTTTTAGATTCAAACATAATTTCAAATTATTTCTGATCTGGTCCCTATTCGTGAAATAAAATTTCTCCGCTTCTGCCACCAACATCCTATAATTAGGTTGTTGTTGAATTGTCTCTTGACACAATCCACGAAGGTTCATGTCAATGTAAAATTGAGAATTGTAGGAGGCGCTCTTCTAGTTGTACTGTGCAAGATATGCTTAATGGTTACTCCAAGGTAATTCAACTTAATTTATTTTTCCACGTTGTGTCTCATGTAGGCCTCAACAATTTTCTAAAATTTAATGAGTTAGGTTGATAATTTTCCATTAATTTTCTTCTTGGTTATTTGTTATCAAATAATTAATGTTAGTACGGTCCACTACTCATTGTAGTGATTTCCCTTCATTTTTGTTAGATATTGTCAGTTCAGCCTTTATTTGCAAGTGTTGATTCTCTTGTCATTTGGTTCTAATTTTCGGTTTTCCATGACAGATTTTGAGATGGAGTCAATAAAGTGCTTTGAAAGGTTTATTGTAATAATGTGAACCCTTTGTTGATATTTTATCGGTCAAGATGATTCTACCGTTTATAACATTACACTAATCTACTTTCGGAGCTACATTTTTGTGTTTGCTTGATTGACTTACTTTCAATCAAAAATTAGTTCATCTAGTCTATTTTGTATCTTGAATAGATATATTTATGATTTTTGTATGATTTTTTAAAATTCAATTTTTAAACAACGATGATCTTTGTATGAGATAAAGTCTCTCAATTTTTATCTCTAATGTATAAAGTACACATGAGATTTATCTTTCTACCACCTCCACAGGAGATGGTTATTATCTCACGCCTTACTTGGGTTATGTTTTCTCTACATTAGTTTTAATGACCAAGATATACACAAGATGATTATGGTCTCACAACCTCAAATTGAGACCTGATTGTATCTTAAAACCCCAACCGACCCCTACTCAAGAGGCGATCTAAGAACCGACCCAAATACGGACTCGAGACTTGACCCTATCCTCCATCCAAAGCTGGACCCATTATTTTGTTTCATATATTTAGTTAAAATTAGTGTTTTTTTTTAAAAAGAATTTGTAGTTGTACAAGTAGATAAATTCAAAAAATCTTATAATATGTACTGCTTCTGTCCCAATTTATATGACATACTTTCTTTTATAGACCGTCTAAAAAAGGAAACATTTATGTGTTTAGTAACAATTTAATTTAAATTATTCATTTTAACCCTAATAAGATGACTTATAGCCATAAAATATTTATGACTTATTTTAGACCACAAGTTTTAAAAGTCTTTTATTCTTTCTTAAAATTTGTGTCTAATCACACTACGTCATATAAATTGGGTTGGAGGGAGTAATACTTAATTATTTATGAAGATTTCTTTGGATATTTGGGTATGAAAATTTATTGATATGTATAAAAGAAAACAATAAAATTTGAGTCAAATTGGATGGGTTGGGTTATGACATATCATTCAGCCCAACTTGACCCGGCCTATCTTAGCCCCAAGATTGATTTGTACTAGATTGGGTGTTGACCCATCTATTATTTCAGATCATCTTAACCTGCCCAACTTTAGTCCAACCTATCCATTTTCTACACCAATGTATGGAGTGGTTGTCGATGCTCGTGGTGGCTAGTTATGGGAGCAAGATCGTGCCTCAAATATTGATGATAGTGAATTATAATTTAATGATAAATTCCATACAACATTAAATAAGTCATACCTATTAAAATCAAACTAGGGATTATATCAAAGAGAAAAACACTTAATAAATGGTAATATAAATTATACAAATTTAGACTTTCCGCAATTAGAAATAAAAGGGACCTCAATAAAAAATTCTTTAATCTTTACATAGCTAGGTTGCGTGCTAACCAGATAAAACAGAGAGAAGTTGAACAACACACTAATTTTATGAGGTATGGGTTTAAGGTTTCACTATACAAGTGCTACCCCCACCCTTATAACTTGGTAAAAGGCTGTAATTTCTTATCTATATGCTCGAATTGATTTTCAAGCATTAATATTGGGGGCTTTCTGAAACAAATTTATAGGCATTAGACTTCAAGGTTACAAGTATATATTCACTAATCCTAGAAAAATATGTAGAATTTGCAACTCTGAGATAATTTGGATCATTAGGATTGCCTCGCAAAATATACAAATTACACATGTAAATATAAAAACACAAGATTTCAAAGCCACAAACCAGATTATTACCTTTTGCCATTTGAATATATATGAATATTGGTAATCATTTCTTAAATGGATTTCTTCCTAGAACTGAGTTATCCGTGTCCAATCCTTTCTTCCAAAGTTAGTGATATTGGACAAGCCTTGATCGCCATGTTGATCTCAGGTTAAACTTTCTTGTCAAATATTATTTGTAGCTGAAGGTAAAAGATTACTAATTAATAACTTGCAGTTATAATATAATGAGAACATATGCTTCTGGTTCATTTCAAGTATATACCTATATGCCATTCCTTCTCCATCAGAACTAATGCATGACTTTAACTCTGATATGTATCGTTTTTATCATGAAACCAAGGATCATTATTAGTATAGCTTACTTGCAATCTTAAATAAATTTTATACATGTGAATTCTCGCTACAAGACAAATCGAGATAAGCTTAAAACTGAGGTGTGATAGAAGAAGAATTCTGAGGAGAGGAAATACAACCATTTCCTTAGAGTGAGAATTACTTAACCACTGTTAGTTGAAACTCATGGTGAATCATTCAAAATTACTTGCATCGCACCAGTCTTCCATCAAGAGGTAATGAAACACATCTACCTTTCAAATTTGTAATTTTAAATAAAGCACCACTTTCACTAAAAGAACTAAGTGGCTTCTTCGACCTTCTACATTTGATATTGGGTGCCAATAAGAATGTCCGTGAAAGACTCAAGTTTTTCATCCATGGCAGCAAGCATGGCCAGAATATCAACATGTAGGCCCAAGAGAATAAAAAAGGAATTAGGAGCTTTGACCTTAGAGGAGATGGCAACTACAGTAGCATCAAACTAATGCTAGAGAACCTAGGAATCCTCCATACTGACGAAAGCCTTAGAGTTATAGCACTGTTTGATAAGAAGGGGACGGATTTCAACCAAATTGATATTATTTGCATCAAAAATATGTGAGATGACCATGCCATAATGCAATTTGTGAGGATCAAAAGCAACTTCAATCATATAGTTAAGCACAAAAGAGGAAAGCTTAAGTTTATACTTGGATATAAGGTAGTAGGTAAGGAGAGAATCATGCTAAGTAAGGGAGGACATAGATCTTGCATGAGGCAGGAGAGTGGTAGCCATGATGTGAGCGATGACCCTAGTTTCAAAAGAAAGGGTTGGAGCCTTCAAGAGAAACAAATTTCATGGCTTGTAGATTGGACCTCATTGAAAATCCTAAACATGTTGCTTCCTGTAGTTCCAGTAGAGTTCACTTACGAGATGGTACATCTACTAATGTTTCTTATATTTGATCACCCAACTCATCAGATTTTCTCCATCTTGACAATGTTCTTTACACTCTCAAAAAATGGCAAGCAACAATCTCTCTTTCAATGCTTCACAAATTTCCACACACGAAAACTATTAAATTTGGTCGATGAGCATAACTCATATTTTGATACCTATATGAATGATATGTGATGTTGTGATGAAAGAAATATTCTAAGAATAATATTTTGCAAATCCTACAAAAGTTCATATTAATGAACATTCAAAAGTGCTTTTAGATATGACAAGGTTATTGAGGGCGTTTTTTAAGCACAAAACCAAAAGAAGAAGGTTAAAAAGAAGAAATTTTTAAAGTTAAAAAACAATGAATAGAATTCAGCATCAACTGTCAAAGTAGAAATTGAGGAGGATCATTTTTTCAATTGCAGTAATTAAAGCAAAGGAGGAGTGTTGAATTTTACTTTAGTTACTGTAGTAATTTTTAATATAATAAACTACCTAGGTTTAGGATAGATTTGAAATTTAATTTTTCACTCGATTGTTTTAGTTGTTGAAAAATTCTAGATTTTTTGAATTTTGAATTGCAGATTTCTAAATATTATGTGGTCAAATTGGCAATTTAAAGCCCTTCAATGCTTAATAAATTTTTTGAGAGACATTTGAATCCATACTTTTTGCTTCCCCATCTTTAAAAAAGCCTTCATCTTCATTCTCGTCTCCCTCCAACTACATATTTTCCCACAACTAACTTACACTCCGAAGATCTCTTTCTTTCTTCTCCTTAACTTCCTGATATGTCCTCTACTCTTGATCTTATTTTTACTTCTACTTCTTCCTCTATTCCTGCTCCATGTGCCCCTGCATGACCTCTTGAAAAAACTACTTCTTGTAGTAAATCATTCATTTCTAAATAAGCTTTTTCTTTGCGTTTGTTAATTACCCGTAGGGGGGTGACACTAGTGCTTATCAAAACGATATGTTCATCTCACAAGATCACAATGATGCAACAATATCCTTTTTAATATATGGAACAATTGATTCTCTAGTATTAAATTTGGATACGAATTGGGGGGGGGGGACTCTTCTTGTGTGGCTCTCTTACCTCATATGGAATTTTGATAGTTCCTGATTGTCATAAAGGTTTTCAAGGGAGGGAGAGAGGGGGGGGGGGGGGGGGTCAAAATTGCAATGGAACTTCTGGGAAAAAATATAATGACATTAGCTAAAGTGTATCGGTGGTGACTTTTGGGTTCCAAGTATTGGTAAACAACACTTGCTGCAACTCATCTCTCATAAAATTCATGATTTCAAAACTGTTATCAAGTGCAACTGATATTGCAAAGTGGAGTTGATGGTTTGATATTGATGCTAATGCTTCTAAAGATTAAGAGTAAGTTTTTTTTAATTATATATGTTATTCTGTCTAAAGATGAGATGATGTACCTATTGTTGCTCTTTTGTTTTTTTCATCATCAACAGTCTTGAATAATATGTGTTGTATTTTTAGTGGCAATGGTTGGTAGTATGATATTATTGTATCGTATTGTTTCGCGATTATCTAAAATTACTCATTTTTGATAGTTAACTGCCCGTTTGATTTTGTTATGCATGACTCATCTTGATCACCAACCAACTTTATAGTAGAATGAGTGGAAGTTAGTATAGATCTAAGTCCCATATTTGGTGATAAATTCTACTATTTGAAACATTTAGGGTGTAGGCTCGATCAGATGATTAAATAAAAAACTATTTTTTTGTACTTTTTTTTTACAAGTTTTGTTTACTTGAAACTTTTATATTAGTTTTTTAAAGACTATGAATTTATTCCAGCCTCGAACTTTGTTGTTCTCTTCTTTTCTTACAAATTCATTTTACAAGTAGATGATCAATGGGAACTCGAACCCACTGATTGATAAAATGGGGAATCAAACCAAAATATATAGATCTCAAGTTGACATGCAATATAGTTAATTAACTTTTATTAGATAGTTATTGTTTGTACATTTGAGTCAGTTTTATGGAAAATATGACAAAGCCAATTAAGTCAGATTTTCAAATAGAAGAATCATGTTAAACCAATTAAGTCAGCTTTTTGCAGAGTTCAATTCTCCCAATTTATCAAAAAAAATTTAAAAAATAAGGTTGATTGATTTGTTAAAAAATGTTGTAATTTCTTGCAAGATATTCAATACTGGGATGATCTAATTTTTATAAATCGGAGGATCACCAAAGGAGTCAACAACAAAAAAAACTCATTGCTCAAAAGTGAATAATCTAAGCAAATCAAAGAAACTTCATTTATTTTTTTCATCACTTAAATAACAAAATGGAGCCATCAAACTTTTGTAGCGAATCGACACCAATACGTGCTTACTAGATGTTGCACTTGTAAAAAATGAGTTACTAGTTTCTTGCCCATGATAACATAAACAAACAAGTGAGGATGAGGAACCAAGAACTGCTCAACTTATTCTGTATTCTCCACTTCCAGTTCTTTCACCAATAAGGTTTATACTCAATCAACAACTGATATCATTATATTTCTGCTTTAACTTTACCTTGTTATTGTCATTGAAATTTATGTATGTAAAAGTATGCTTTATATTGTCAGGCTCAAGAAAGCACATTGGTTCCTAGTCAAGCGATGAAGCAGCTCATCAATATAGATCAGGACGTTGAATCAACTTTCCACAGGGTTTAGTCATTCTTGAAGTCTGTACCAGAGCAACATCCCAGGCAACAATCTGGCCTCCAGATCAATAGTAACAATTCTTCACCACAAATTCACGCAAAGTTGATATTTGAAGGCTCCATTAGACTGCCTTTGGAGGTATTTGCTGATGACCCGACAAAAGAAAAGGAAGTGCATGATGCAATTATTTCATTAAGTGATAATCCCTCATCGTTGTTTAGCGATGAACAAGCCAAGCAATTGCGAAGAATCAAGTTTGAATCCCCTTTCATGGCTAAGAAATGGAGGGACTTGGCACGATCCAAGTCAAGTTGCCAGGAGTTCTTGACTAACTTTGAAGAGGACATGAAAAAACTGGATGATTGGATTAGATAAGAACTAAGATTGAAGGATGCGTATGAGGAAAAGGAGGAAGAAGCTTGAGAGTTGGAAGAACGACTTCAAGATATAAGGACTAGGCAGAAAGAAATCATGGATGAATGACAAAAATGTTCTGGAAAATCTCAAAGCACCAGCAATAAATTGGATACAACAGAAGTGCAGATGGATGGATTGTAGACAAACATCCATGGTAAACCAGAGTTTTTTTAGATTTTCAAGACCATTCTTGTCGTTCATCCATGATATCTTTCTGCTTGGTCCTTATACCTTGAGTCGTTCTTCCAACTCTCGAGTAACCTTTAACCTTGGTTCTGATCTAATCCAATCATCCAGTTTTTTCCTGTCCACTTCAAAGTTGGTCAAGAACTGCTAGCAACTTGACTTGGATCGTGCCATGTCCCTCCATTTCTTAACCATGAAAGGGAATTCAAACTTGATTCTTCATAATTGCTTGGCTTGTTCATCGCTAAACAATGATGAGGGATTATCATTTAATGCAATAATTGCATCATGCACTTCCTTTTATTTTGTCGGGTCATCATCAAATACCTCCAAAGGCAGTCTGATGGAGCATTCAAATATCAACTTTGCGTGAATTTGCGGTGAAGAAGTGGTACTATTGATCTGGAGGCTGGATTGTTGGCTGGGATGCTGCTCTGGTAAAGACTTCAAGAATGACTGAACCTTTTGAAAATTTGATTCGACGTCCTGATCTATATTGATGAGCTGCTTCATCGCTTGACTAGGAACCAATGTGCTTTCTTGAGCATGACAATATAAAGCATACTTTTACATACATAAATTTCAATGACAATAACAAGGAATAGTTAAAGCATAAATATAATGATATCGGTTATTGATTGAGTATAAACCTTATTTGGTGAAAGAACTAGAAGTGGAGAATATAGAATAAGTTGAGCAGTTCTTGGTTCCCCATCCTTACTTGTGCCACTTGAACATTTGCTCTTTACCTATTTTTTTTAATAATTCCCAAAAGAATAAAATATAATATATGTTATAAAATTTGAAAATATGTGTAAAATTATAAATATTAAATAGTATAGTTGGTTTGATATCTCTTTTACATAAAATCAAAATCAATCCAAATTTTATTGGTTTTTAATATTAAATAACAAACCTAATTTTTTTTTTTTGAGTTTTTATGAAATGATTTGATTTTTAGCTTGGTTCGGTTTATTTGTTTTTTGTAAACACCGCTACCTACAATTACCTAGATGATTCAAATATACCCCTTATTCATGAGGATTTAGGATTGTCCAATGTGGAAACATACATTCTTATGTGATACTGATATTTTGATGATGTGTACACCACATAACATGGCACCTCAGTGCTCCAACCCATTATGCCCCTTACCTTTCTTTATTCTTCCACCATAAGCATTTACTATCCCTCCCTCACCATTGCTAATACCATTAACATTACTAAAATTACATTTAGGTCTTCTTTATGAAATTTTAGTCGATTGTCTCTTTTATAGAGACATGTTTAGTACTCCTACTACTAACATTGATAATGTCTCGTTATTGTTGTTACATGTCTCTCTCTCTGTCTCTCCTACTTCTAATACCAAAAACTCAATCCTTCTATGACCTAGATCCTTCGGCGATAGGTATGTAGCCTATTATGGCTACCCAAACTCATGACAACCTTAAGCAAACACCAATGTAGTGCAATGAACTCCGTTAAAGACCTTCGACGCTGACTGAAATTAGGCTTCTTGTTTCTTGTTTCTTTAAGATTTACAGCGCCAACCAAGTTATGTCTCTATTTTCTATCATAGTTACTTCATTTCAAAATTGATTGTGATTTACTCCACAATTCATTATGTCAAAGTAGGAGATTAGTGTATCGTTTATTGAGGCACTATGAATGAATCTAGCGAAACATGGTCAAATTTTGTGGCACCACAAATAGATGGCTTAGTCGATCAGAATGGGATTAACTGTCATATTGATCATATTTTGACTTAAATAAAGAATAAGGTTAGAGTCAAGTGATATTTTTCAAGTAGAAATTTCTTTTTTCAAGCTCATGTTAACATTTTGTAAAGAATATTCTTAACAACATTAAAGTTCAAATTCAAATGCTTTTAAATGTTCTCATGGTTTTAAGAATTTGTACATAATGCGTTCATGTTTTGCTAAGTCTCATTCCAGCTTTAGTGAAGGGATTATTGCGATTCATTGAGTATATCTGTGGGTGTGCTAACTTTTCATTTACCTGCGACCTACATTGGTTATGTCAATGTTGATACATATTTTTGAAATGACCAGGTTACAAGGTAGGGCCTTCTCTTTCTCCAACAGATATTGGTTAGCTCTGGTATGTTTCATGGAATATTTTCTTTTCTTCATATTCAATTGTGTATTTATTTGTTTGTTGTTTTGAGGATTAGCTAGGAAGTCCCTGTCATGTAGAATTCATGAGGTTTTTGTTTGAGGCTCCATAGATAGTGTCAGTTAGGTCATAAATTTCATGTTTATGTTAAATTTAATACAATTTTTTTAAACTTTATTTTGACATAAAATGTATTGATTTGGTTTTTTAAAAAAGAATGATTAGTTTTAGAATTATTACATACTTTTATCAAATCATATTTTAAGTAGATTTTTTTAAAAAAAATTTGCATTGTGCTACATAGTATTTTATATTTATATATGGAGATAAAAGTCAAGATGGTCTACGTGGTCTAGTCTAGGCACCATATATCTATTCCAACTTGATCAGAAATTGGTGTTATGAGAAAATTATTTCTTACTGCTCTCATACTATTCATAAGTTTGTTTGTACCAGATTTTCTTGTTTTCCAGATGTACGTAGGAGTTGGCCTCATATTGTGAAAATTTTGAAAGAATGGTAACCTAGATATAGTTATAAGATTGTGAGGTGGTTGTATCCTCATCTTTGTTGGTATAAGTGTAATATAGATAGTACTGTTGGAATACATACTATTAACCATGTATTTAGATATAGTATTTATCATAGAATAATTATTTATTCATTTTTAATAGATCATATGTTCGTTTATGGTCTTTATTTACTTATATAGTAGATGATTTAGTGTATAGAGCTTTAGCTTATACACAGAAGATTAAATCATCGATTCTTATAAGTATAAAAATTTTCGTTCACAATCTATGATGAGAATTGGACATGCCATCAGTACAATTGTAGCATAAGATTATATGTAATTTATTTTGATTATGGGAAGGGTATATTTCCAACTTCTTGTGCCAGTACATTTTGTATGTATTGAACGGGACCGAGTAGAAATAGTTGTTTTAGACTGACTGACAAAAACATATTCTCTAAGCTATTAAATGTACTTATATTCTTAATCCTGATATAAATATTATGATCTATATATGTGAATTATCGTTTTAATTTATTAAAAGGTGAGATTCTAAGATGGGTCAGTATGCCTAGTAGATTGGATGATAATAATATATATTGGTGAAATAATAGGTTAGTTGACGAAATCCATGTTCCGATATAGAGATTGATGATATGTCTTTTTGAGAAGCTTATTAGATTTCATCGTGTCAAACCTTACAAGTGGATTTATGAATCCGACACATGAAATAAGTAAAGCAGTTCTCTAAAGAAAATTGATCAATGTCGCGCCCCATTTTTCGCAAAAAATAGGTTTCGGTGCACGACCTAACAACTCTTTGGGTTTATTTTTGTGAGTGAGAAAGAGTGATTGTTTATTGTTAAAGCCTTCCACCGTCAGAGAATGAATGAAAAAATGTTTGTTTATATAGCAGGTAGAGGGCAGGCGGAAAAGGTAAAAGAGATTATTTTGATTCGGTTGAAATTATTTTCCTTAAACGGAGAGACAGATCAATCCTATTTTTACCAAATATCAACAAGTAAGAAGCAATCAACTCTTAAATAAGGTAAGGAAAATCAATCACAATTTTACCATATTAAAAGATAAGTAAGGAAGTCTGTCCCAACATTTAAACAAGGGAAAGCAAACTTTAATTACGAAATAGGGTAATGATACATAACGGCAACTCAATCCTAGTGAACCAAAATTATATTAGAATATACCATAAAAGAGTTAACAAATAACCTATATGCACAATAAACCACTAAAACCACAAACTCAAAAAATGGCAAGCAATGACAATACAGAAGAATTTTTTAAACAGTGATTTAAGGAAAGCATTAAGGACGAAGCAGTTTAAGAAATATAGTAAATTCAATACCCAAACTGGCGCACTTTAATCCAAAATCAACAATTTCAGCAAGGAAGCGGATTACATTCACACAGATATCATAACACACTGATGTCTTTTAAGAGAAACAAAGCTAACGAAATTCTCACAATAATTAGTGGCCTCCGCACAGAGAAAACATGCAACTCAACAACACGAATACCATAATCAAGCTAAAAAAATTTAAATAGTGAATCGAAAAATGAAGCAAACCTGGACGGATCTGTCAACATCCATCTTAAATAAACTCGAATTTTTTGGGAAAAAGGGGTTCGCCAGATGGAGCACCATTGTTGCTGCCGCTTGCTAGGGCTATTGTTGTTCACTTCGCCTGCTGCTGGAGTTTCGCCGGAACCAGATAAAAGGGTGGAATTTGGAGTTTCCACCAACGCTGTCGGTTACATGGTGGTTCGCTGCTTGCTGTTGGCTTCGCATTCTCGCCGGAGTTTGTTGTTATCGTTCGTCCCTGATGGACGGAGCAGTTGAGGGAGAGAGAGAGCAACGAGCTTTCGCTGCTGCTGCCGGTGCTTACCAGTGGTCTGCTCGGCGGCTTTCACTAGAGTTGCTGGTGCGAGAGGGGAGACGGAGAAGCGACAGGAGAGAGGAGGCTGCCACCGGACTGCGTGGTGGCCATCCTCGCCGACAAAGATGAGGCAGAGAGGTAGATGAGGCGGTGGACTTTTTGGGAGATGAGAGAAAAGAATGAAGTCTAAGGGGTTTGGGTCTTTTGATGTTTAAAGGAAACAATGAATTAAAGGATCTAGGCCGTTGATTTAATTCTGATGAAAGGCTAAGATCGGTTCTTTGAGTTGGATGAATTAAGATGGACGAATGAGATTGAATGAGAATTTGGAGTCTTGAAAATTGGAATAAGAATAGGCCACAATTGAAATCAATAAATGGCTATAATTGAAATAAATTGAATAGACTAGGCTATTATTTAAATGATTTAGGAGGAGATAAAGGAGAAGCTATTTAATTAATAAAATCCTACATATATTAAAATATTTTCATATAAATTTAACACATCTAGATGTTAAAATAATTGAGTAAAGTAATTATTTCGAGTTTAATTAGCGATAAATATAATAGTTTAATAATAATAAAATAATTTAATAATAATTTTTTATAAATCATATATACTAAAATATGTAATTTTTAGACAAAATCGATTAAAATTTTAAACTCGAAATATGTTTTTTAAAATGCGTACTTAATCGAATAGTACTCTCGAAAGGGTTACAGGTCGATCAAAATTGGGTGTCAACAAGTACCCCTTGGTTGCTTGAGAATGAAGGTTAAATTATCGGGCAACCAACGTTGACTTAGTAGCCGATTTTGTCCGACCATCAAGAGATGTCAATGGATCAATTGAAAAGATATAGAGTTGGAGAGGGGTATGACCGAGACTTTGGTATTAAGTCGCCTACATATCTCTGGTTATACGAAAATCAGGTCATGTGTAGTTCTAGATTTAGGAACAAATGAGCCTCCTAAAATTTGAAGTATCGCTAAGGCATTAGAATGGAAACGATAACAGCTTGAGTGGATAAGGTTCGAGTAGCGAGAAGAGCATGACAGAGCGATTTCTAACTTAAGCAAGGATCAAATGAAAAGAAGTAATGCGAGTAGTGAAGAATCAAATGAATAACAGTAATACAAGTAGCAACGAGTTGAGAGGGCCTTTGTTGCGATAAATATGTAAGCTTGACAATCGTAGCTGAGAGGGAGATTGATCTCATCTGTAATATATCAGTCTCTGCAAGTCTGTAGCTTGTAATACGACTAAATAAAGTGATTAGAGCATATATATCAAATGAACGGTAAATGTGAACATGATGCAATTTCCCATTCAACCGTGATACTTACCTTAAGACTATGAAAATGATGTCTTAGGCTATGAAGTCTAGGGCCATGATATGCAAAATTAATTCCTCAGGTCATTAAAATGTTGTTTGTGGGCCATGAAAATTGATGCCTTTAGACTATGACACCTTTAGATCATGATAGACAAAAATTAAATCCTTAGGCCATGATATTATGTCTGCGGGCCATGAAAGATGATGCCTTTAGACCATGACGCCTTAGGAACATAAGTAATGAGTAAAGAGAGCGTATCTGTAATTCGAGCATCTGTTGACACTTGTGACTTGATTTAAATTTATCTTGATAAGCATGAAGTAAATCCTCAGGCCATGAAATGATGTCCGCAGGACATAAAAGATAATGCCTTTGGACGATGACCCCTTAAGAATATAAATAATGAGTAGAGAAAGCGTATCTATTTTGGTGTAATTCGAGCATCTTGTGTCTTGATTTGAAAGTGAACATGTACATATGTATTCTGGCACAATGCAATTTTTAGGCACATGCAAATCTCAGGCACATGCAATCTTCGGGCACAATGCAATCTCTGGCTTAAATATGCAATCTTGGGCACATGCATTATCGGGTACATGGAATCTTCGGGCATAATGCAATTCGAGCACATGCAATCTCTGGGCATAATGTAATACTCGGGCACAATGCAATATTTGGGCACAGTGCAATCTTTGGGCACATGCAATCTCAAGGCACAATGTAATTTTCAGGCACAATGCAATCTTCGGGAATAACGAATTTCTTGGGCACTATGCAATATCGGGCACATGCAATCTTCAAGAACATGAAATATTCAAGCACAATGCAATTTCAGGATCAGTGTAGTATCGGGCACATGCAATCTTCGGGCACAATGCAATTTCGGGCTCAATGAAATTCTCGGGCTCATGCGATAGTTGATTGAGGGCATAGATCTTCGCCTTATTGAAGGATTGAGTGTGATTTGTTGACAAATTTCGAGCTCAGAATATTGTAGCTTGACCCTTCGTCCTATTGTAAGGAGTGGGTGCAGTTGAATGTCGATTTTTGGGGCATGATATAAAGTAGTTTGATCCTTCCGTCTGATTGGGAGGATAGGGCGCCCTTTACTAGCGATATGTCGAGCCTAATAGCAGTCATGCGATGTTGAAATTTCTTTAGTATATGTACCTATATTCTTTGCATTCGAAGAAAAATAGTTAGTTTAATGGGTGGTTGATCTGTATCCCTGATTTGACACAATATGCTCCTTTGATGTTTGCTCGAAGGTCGATCTTTGCGATATTTTAAGAAATTTTGTGATCCCTCCAAAATTTCTACCCCAGTGTAGAACTTTAGAATTTCTGATGCTCCTTTTGTAGACCAAAAGTAGTGTTCTTGAATTTTTGAGAAGATCTAAAAAATTCTGCCCCAGTCTCATTATTCGTAGATGAATGGGATTGTTAGGGTCCTCTCTTGAGAGTAAAATATAATCTTTTGATGGAATTTTTGAGACCCTGTCAAAAATTCTACCCCAGTATTGTAGCTTGTAGGAAAATGCTCTTTTGATGTAATTTTTGAGACCCTCTCAAAATTTTTCCCCAGTATTGACTTACAAGAAGAATGCTCTTTTGATAGAATTTTTGAGTCCTTCTCGAAATATTTGCCCTAGTTACACAATAGAAGGGGAAAATGATTTTTTTTATTAGAATAAGAGCGAACTCCGTAGGAGCGCCTACGTATCCCCTCTTAAACGAGAATCAGGTCTGACGTAGTTCCAAATACAAAGAGCATAATTCAAGACATTGAAAGGAACACTGTTGAGCAACAACTAAAATGATAGATTCTGACCAACTTTATTGTCCACATGCTAACATGGGTACTTTTCTTATCAGAAATTAATGGAACCTGAATATAGAAAACTTAAACTTAAATGGCGCAAGCCCTTATTGGAAACTGCTTCAAATGGACTTCGACATGTTCACTATTGGGACTCCTTTGGCACAAGGTCTGTCCAGTGTATGACATTAGCCTTAATCAGTTGCTGAATCTTGTCTCTTAGAGCACGACATGATTCGGTAGTATGTCCCTCCATCCCTGAATGATAGTCACAAATCTTGTTTGGGTCATACCGCTTGGATTGAGTGTCTGGATTGTTGGCAGGGATATGAGTCACACAGTTAGCCATTTTAAGCCTTTTGTAGAGTTGGTGAAATGATTCGGCTAAAGAAGCATAAATTTTGATGGGCTTCTTCTCAACATTGAATAAGTTTTTTGCGAATATGAGTTTGAGTGAGGGTTTTGACATTGTGGACAGGATAGGTGGGTTGTTGATATAGTAGAGGAGGAGGCATTTGATATGGATGAATTTGGAATGGTATGAGAGGCGCGCAATACCAAGGGACTTGGTGTAGAGGCGTTATATGCAGATGAGCTTGCATGGTGGGATTCTGCAGTCGCAGAGTGAGATATGGAGGTCTAGAAGCACAGGCGGGATGTTGGGGAGGATATAGGTAATTTGGGAAGTGAGTGTTCTTTGGAGGCATTTGAATGGAGCTTAGTTGATTTTGAGGTTGAGAAGTAGGGTGAACTGGTGGAGGATTATTTTGAAAAATGGCTTGACTTGTGACAGGCGGCTTATCCATGTCTGTCTCCAAAGTGAGATTGACAGAGAGTAACAACTTAGCCCACTCATGCATATCAGATATCTCTTCTTCTAAATCCTTTATTTTCTGTTCCAAACTTGGGATCGACTTGTTTGGAGGAATGTCTTTCTTAATAGTTTTACCCATAATCTTATCATTACTCACTTTCTTCTTTCCTTTGCGATTCTCACTTGGGAGAGAAGAAGGAGTGCCCTTTGGTCGTGTGTGGTAAACCATGGTGTACAGATCAACCATAGGGGAGGGGTGAAATAAAAATAAAACCAAAAGAAAACCCAAGTTAGAACATTGCATAAATTGAGATAACGAGTACATTGTTTTAAGATAAATGCCCTAATGCAAGGGGCCTCGTTGAGACAGAGGTATGTTTAACACGACACATAAGTGATGCACAATAATTAATTCAGACCTTATTCGCCAATTTGGACTTTAGATTAGCGGAATTCTAAACTCCATTTTGGCATGACTTGGCTTAGATTAATTATGGTGATCACATTGACACATAATATGCAATTTGCCTAAAGGGTGTTGGGGCCCTTTAGACGGTAGAGTGACTACTAAGAGTGTGAATTGACACTAAGGGTCAAACCACCAAAGGTTTATGCAGCATGTATGGCCTAATTAAGATTTCTTAGAGTTGGGTAGACATAGACTTGATGAGGTTCTATGCGAGAAGGCACATGGTTTCACGGTAGTAAAACTATCCGCATATTCCATGCCTTAGCCATCTCTCTAATATAGGGTGTTTGAAGAGACTTGGAGTATTTTCTGAGATGTGCAAAGTCACACACAATCACAAAAAAACAAAAGAAAACGGAAGAGGGTCCCAATTAGGGGACGTATGAACGAAATGCCAATTTATCAAAGCAGTAAACATTTAGCATGTAGATGGAAAACAGTATCACATAGGCAATTTTAAGGAAATCATTAAATAAATAAATACATGAATAAAAGGAAATAGACATGCCAACACATAAAGGAATTAAGCAAATAAGGAAAGGGGACAAGGATTAAACATAGAAGTAAGCAAATATGTAATTTAGACATGGAACTAGCAAAACAAACAAGGAAAACATTCAAAAACAAATAAACCCTACATAAAGCATGAAACACGTAATAGTAACAACCTAAAATCCTCAGTAGAGTCGCCATTCTGTCACACACCATTTTTTGCAAAA